GGCCACGGCCGGCCCTTGCCGGCCGTCCGGCAACAACTCATGAACAATCTGACCTGAACTGACATCAACTAACATGATAAGATCATAAACACTGAATTCACATGAAAACATGAAAATTTCTCGACAAACCGAACATAGCTGTGGCGAGCGTACCATGCGCCGCCGACGGCGTTGGGCCGTCTCTCGACCACTTAACTTTTTCTCTCGGCAATTTACCCTTAACTGAACATGATCAACACTTACTGAATAAGATCGCATAAAGTGCTCGAGGAAAAATGAACTTAACATACTTGACACTCGCGTACGGCCCGTGGTGCGCTACGTGCGCAACCACATTACCTTGGCCGAAACACCGAATAACATGAGTATTTTTCCGAACAACATAAGCTGAAACAGCATGATATTACATAAAAAGACTAAACATGCGAGGGTTGTTCGGAGAATACGAATTAAACATAACATGACTCGACACCAACTACACACGGCGGACATAACTCACGGCCAACATGAAAATTGATTTGCATGAAACTGTTACAGGTACAACCAAGAGATATCCAGCAGCATACCTCTTCAGTTGCTCTCTTGTCGAGTTAAATACGTGAAATACTCGACGTGACCGTGTGGCTCTCCGCGTGCGTGGCGTCGCCGTGCGGTACTTGCGGTAAGCTCGGGCGTGCGGTGCGGTACTAAATCTCCTCTCAATTCTCAACTCACTCTATGCTTTCTCTTCGGTATGCATATATATGGAAAATATAGGCAAAATCTTCCCAACTTATAACCTATATATATGTAACCGTACGGAAGTTGGGCTCATGACATGATTTGGTGTCTTTATCCCAAAATGACACCTAATAGTTCAAAGGCTTAGTCACCACAATTAAGCATTAGTCATTAGTCATTACTTAACCTTCTTATGATGACACCTCATACTTGCCTTAATTAGGAAAAAAAATGAAAACAAATCCACTCATTTTCCCCCACTTAAAACTTACGGATTATTTAGCAAATATGGGAAAATTGTGCACGGCATTAGTGCCTAAAACATGATTAACTCACTAATTAATCATCTCATTATGTTTAATTATTAATTAAATATAATGCTTAATTACCAAAATTATTCCGAACGTAAACGGAACGTCGAAAATAATTTTCGGTAATTTCGACTGAACTGACTGAAAAAATTTAATTCCGACAATTAATATTCGGAACTAAAAAACATGATTAACATGACGGGATATCGCTGACTGAATAATTAGTTCCGGACTCATTAATTTAATAACGAACCGGAATTAAATCTGGAAACTTATTCGGTTACTGAACTAATTAAACCGAATAATTTATCGACTAATAGTCGAACATAGAACATAACTGACTGATTAACCTGAACTTGAACATGAACATGATTATTTATTAATAAAGGCTAGCTTAAAACTAAAAGCTAGTATTTTCCTTTATTAATAAAAGGGTTAATTGCTAAATAAACCTTAACATTTTTGCGTTTGGCAATTTTATCACAATCTTTGGGTAATTGCAATATAATCTCGACCTCAATTTACTTATTGCAAGTCGAATCTAAAACTGATTGGACCTTCAAAAAACTGGTCGATTTGAAGGCGGTTCGAACAGATCGGAGCTCATATTTACCGGTTCACTCCAAATCTAGGAGGATACTCATCACCGGTAGCTTACATTGACGTGGAATTTTTGGCTTTGTGCGTGGATATACATTAAATACGTGGAAATTTTCAACTTGCTACGTGGATGGCATAAAAACCCATGTCAATGGAAGACTTGGACACAAAATCGATCCACAAATCCCTAAAATCAATCACTCTGCACCCAAATTTGCAATAAGTAAATTGAAGTCGAGATTATATTGCAATTACCCAAAGATTGGGATAAAATTGCCAAACGCAAAAAGGTTAAGGTTTATTTAGCAATAAAGCCTTAATAAAATACGGGGCGTTACAATCCACCCCCCTTAAATTATTTCCGTCCTCGGAAATACTAAAACTGAAATGTACAAGCTTAACTTAAAGCTTATACTTACTGATTACATAACTTGATCTGAACTGAAAATACCTCAATTCACAATTAAGTGAATTGTTGGATATTGCTGACTGAGAATGAACACTTTTCTGAAATAAAGTGTTCCACTGATAAGACATGATTCTTAAAACAAAATCCTGGAGTGCACTAGTCATCATCTCCTGGCTATCTACTGATCTCCTGTCTGAACGCTGGTGGTGAAGACTCCGGTCGTTGGTACACACGGAAGATTCCAGAGATACACGTATGTACAAATGAGGATAACTAGCTATATTGGTAATTACCTTTCATGAATGTCTGTTCGACAACGCGGCACATCGTTCGCGGCACATTGTAACGCGGCACACCTGCTCCTCATCAAGTGAGTGCGGCACGCCTGCATACAGCACCTAGCGAACATTGCACCTGCGCCGTCGATGTAATCTGATCGCATTTATACCTCAAGCTAGTAACCTCAATGTACGTTAATACTAACTCTCTGTAATCTCCCGGTGTACTGAGACTCAAGCATAGCATCTTTGAATGGAAGGCGTCGGTTTGTCATCATGGCACGATCTGTTGCTATCGATTGGTCCTTCTTCGTCGCAGCGTATATCAACCTATGGTACCTGCAACTGTTTACTCCCTCCAAGGTTTAACCTAAAAAAGGAGTCCATCATGAATGAATATCTCCCCCGATTTCTCAGATTTTTTCAGAATTTGAGACTCGAGGCGCTGACATACTGAAAATGATAGATAAATCATTTTTCCAATGCAATAAAGTTACGTAGTGTCTTTGATAAAGGGGTATTTTCCATGGGTTTGCCTTGGTATCGTGTTCATACAGTTGTATTGAATGATCCCGGCCGGTTAATTTCCGTTCATATAATGCATACAGCCCTAGTTGCCGGTTGGGCGGGCTCGATGGCTCTGTATGAATTATCCGTTTTTGATCCTTCTGACCCTGTTCTTGATCCAATGTGGAGACAGGGTATGTTCATTATACCCTTCATGACTCATTTAGGAATAACGAATTCGTGGGGAGGTTGGAGTATTACAGGAGGGACTGTAACGAATCCGGGAATTTGGAGTTATGAAGGTGTAGCTGGGGCACATATGGTGTTTTCTGGCTTATGCTTTTTGGCAGCTATTTGGCATTGGGTCTATTGGGATCTAGAAATATTTTGTGATGAACGTACAAGAAAACCTTCTTTGGATTTGCCCAAGATCTTTGGAATTCATTTATTCCTCTCTGGGGTGGCTTGCTTTGGTTTTGGTGCATTTCATGTAACAGGCATGTACGGTCCTGGAATATGGGTGTCCGATCCTTATGGACTAACGGGAAAAGTACAACCTGTAAGTCCGTCGTGGGGCGTGGAAGGTTTTGATCCTTTTGTTCTGGGAGGAATAGCTTCTCATCATATTGCAACAGGTACATTGGGCATCTTAGCGGGTTTATTCCATCTTAGCGTCCGACCGCCACAACGTCTATACAAAGGATTGCGTATGGGAAATATTGAAACCGTACTCTCTAGTAGTATCGCGGCTGTCTTTTTTGCAGCTTTTGTTGTTGCTGGAACTATGTGGTATGGTTCAGCAACGACCCCTATTGAATTATTTGGTCCCACTCGTTATCAATGGGATCAGGGTTACTTCCAGCAAGAGATATATTGAAGAGTTAGTGCCGGGCTAGCAGAAAATCAAAGTTTATCATAAGCCTGGTCCAAAATTCCTAAAAATTTACTTTGAATTCATGAACGATTCTCGGATTTGAATGAACCGAGGTGAAAAGCTTCTATGAGTTGTTTCGCGTTTCATTATAGGAAATCGGTTTTTTTTTTCAGGGATCGAATCCCGTACAAGTACCATCAACTAGCTATTTATAGTAACATTTTTAGTACATACATCGGAATCCGTGCGTCGCTTGTCTGATAAAGCTACTTTTGAAGGGCGGCAGAGCCAGTGGGCCCTACGTCAATGATAACAACCCTCGTAGATCGTGAGGGGGGGGCGTAGGTGCTTTGTCACCT